TGGAAGGTATTAGATTTGGGTTCGATACTGGGGGGCTGTTCTGCCAGTCAGTTAAAGCAGCACGTTTAACATCGACAAGTACGTTGATTTCCGGGTCATTTTCTTAAAACCAGTCCTGGTGTATGCCTTCGATTTGGCCGAGGGTCCCTGCAGGTTTTTGTCAAGACAGTGTTGAAGATACCCCATTCGCCATTCGGGTTTGGGGTGTTTGTTGTCAGGTACTTCATCAGCATATCCTCAAGCTACTCTCTGAAAGCATGTGCTACCTCTGGATCCTCCAGACACTTGGTGTTACCGCCACAGTAAGATAAACATGAGAGAGAGAGAGGGTGAGAAGGGGGGGGGGGGCAGTGCTGACAACGTGTTTGTTGATGTGTCTAATATGAAACAGATGGCCTTCGCCTCAGGCTGCGATTGAGTGGGGATTGCTCACAGTAGTCAACCAATTCTTGCAGGAGAAACAACACGCTGGTCGAACCCAAGACCCTAAAATGTAAATATTAACTCTAAATAACTTTAATAAGTATATTTATGTACTGTAATTTGATCATATTATACAACTTGTCTCCTGATATATCAACAGATGTATCATGTGAGTTATATTTATGATGTTAACAGGATATGTACTGTATATTGATTGTATTATTCATACTATGTGTCCTGAGATAACAGCATTTGTTATATGTGAATTGTTCTTTAACAGGTTTTGACCGAATTATATGGTACGCGTCAACGTTGAGGGTTTATTTCTCCAGCAACAAACCAATAACGCTCCTATGAGCGTTAACACTTGGTATTAAAACCTCTTCTGGAAGCTTTTTGTTTTTGCCACGCATGGCTCAGGTGATGAGGACATCTCGGCCATCTCCTTCTCTAAAAATGTTGCAGTCAATGAGATATCAATGTTTGGATCGTGGGTGTTGCTAAGAACCCTCGAATTTGTCGGCCTGCCTAAACAAGATGTTGGTGATAGTGAGGTTGTGTTCAACCCACTTGCTGAGGAGCAGTCGTCCGATGGGAATACACTTTGCCTACTCTATTTCTCCCAATGGTTCCCTGATATAAGTCAGCATTTCTTCCAACTTTGGCATTGAAGTCACCTAGGAGCTCAACCTTATCTTCTTTGGGGTTAAGGGTTAGCACTCTGTCAAGGTCATAAAAGACCTCCTTCATGTCATCCTCTGCATAACAATTTTTTTTTTTTATTGGGCACTCCCCTACATCCTTGTGTAAGGTGAAGCGCAGAAGCATTTATAGCGCCCAACAGGGAAGCATGCTAAGTTCATGCTTGTCTTTATGTCTCTTGAGTTAAGGGCGTAAAAGCCTGAAGAGTCAAGGGCGTAGAAGCCTGAAGAGTCAGTGGTTTATGTCATCAAGTTATTGGAAGATCCAATAACTCCCTGAATACAAATTCGCAACTTTCGACTTACAACAGGTACCTACTTTATTGCTAGGTGAACAGGGACTAATGGGGGCTAGGAAGTAAGTCCAAACAACTTCCAACGGCCTGGGAATCGAACCCGTGACATCTCGCTTGCGAGGCAAGAACGGTACCGCTTCAACCACCGGTCCCCCTCTGCATAACAATGTTGGGGCGTGTGCACTGATGAAGAAGGCATGACATGAGTTTTTCAGTACGTATCGGAGCATCATGAGACGCTCGATGATCTCAACAGGCATTGACGATGGAGGCGTCTTTAAGAGCTTAGGGGATTTCTTCCTTCTGCCATATATTTTCCAGGAGAGAGTGGAGATGGCTGATAAGCAGAGGTCCTCAGGCTTTATAAACCTCGGCTGGGATTCCATCAGGCCTTGTGGCTTTGTTATTTTTCATCTGTTTGATGGCAGTAGTTACCTCAACCAGGGATGGAGTATAGCTGAGATGGGTCAGCTCTGGATGCTGAGGGACCTGCTGAATAGTCAGGACATCCACATCGGTGTTTCGGTTGAGCAGCGAATGATAGTGCTCTTTCCAGTTATGAAGGATGCATTCTTCGTCTTTAATTCGGGACCTGCAAATGGCAAAGCCAATTCCATAAATGCGGTTTCTCTCTGCAGCAGGTTTACCCTTCCAGAAGAAGGTATAGCCAGACCCCCGGTCTTTGAATTGACCCTCGTCTGGCAGCCGTGGTTCACTAATGGCTGCTATATCGATGTTATACCTTGACAGCTTTTTTGCTACAAGGGCGGTTCATCTTTCAGGACCCTCATTTGTGCCAGTATCCAGAAAAGTTTTGACATTCCATACAGCGACCATAAGAGGTTGTATAGTTTGTTTTTGCTTTGACCTGTGATTATGATTAAGTTTTCGACAGCATTAGGATGACCTTACTGGATGCAGTTGCCCAGTTAGGTTGGTTGTTTTGAGCAAGCTATGTTTAGGGCACCTTTTCTAGCCCCCTCCCCATGAAGAGTGAGCAGAGTAGCTCCAGTAAAGGGCTGCTCAGTCGCACAAACAGGACTGGATTGCACTGCTGTCTAGATCCCAGTGCATATACGACGATCTAATATACTATAGGACTAGGCGTGTGTGTGTGTGTGTGTGTGTGTGTGTCTGCTCTGGGCAGCCGAAACGGCACAATCGTTTTTCATCAAACTTGGTGGAAGGATCGCAAGAAATTCGTACAGTGGAACAAACCTGGTCCCATATCGATGGTTTCTTTAGGAAGCCATTACATAACCATTTTATTTACGCTGGAAAACGATGCAAGTCTACAGACTTGGCGCACCCTCATTCGCTGGACGCTGTCAGCCCACGATTGCAGTTATCGTACGGCTCCCTCCTCTTCCCCCAACTTTTTTTCTTAGCCTACTTTTTTAATGTTGTTTTGATTAGTAAAGGAAGGAAGATGAGTTAATAGATGAATAAAGAAGGGAAACAGAAAATAGTTAGAGATAACAGGTGGGGGGAGCTGAGTTTCATCATGCGTCTGGATGCACAGTTTCAATGTTACCAAACGACCTTACGGCTACAGTGTATACTTATTCCTGTGGGTGGAAAAGGAGAAGAGATAAAAAGATAATAACAGGAATGCATGGAGAAGATGACTACAATAGACACAGGGTGAATATAGACAGTGAAACAGACAGGTGGTTGACAAATATAGACAGATTCATACATGCACAAATAGACAATATGGCAACTCATAGGACAGACAGACGGTTGACTGACTGGTTCACATGATGACTATGATGACTTAACACAGGTAATGACTTAAGCAGATGGTGACTTATCTAACCAGAATCAAGGTCACTTCTCTCCATGATATAATTTATCTCGGAATGATCATCGGTGATTCATAATATTTTTTTTTTAATGATTTTAACCTCTCCTTAAGGCGAATATTTCTTTAACTAAATATTCTAACCTATATTCTATTCCTTCTTATAGTATATTAGATACTGTAAGTATCACGACAACGACCATGATTATAACAACCACGACTATGATTATAACAACCACGACTATGATTATAATAAGCATGACCATGAATATAACAACCAAGACCATGATTATAACAACCACGACCATGATTATAACACACACAACCATGATTATAACAACCACGACCATGATTATAACAACCACGACCATGATTATAACAACCACGACCATGATTATAACACACAACCATGATTATAACAACCACGACCATGATTATAACAACCACGACCATGATTATAACAACCACGACCATGATTATATCAACCACGACCATGATTATAACAACCACGACCATGATTATAACAACCACGATTATGATTATAACAACCACGACCATGATTATAACAACACGACCATGATTATAGTAACCACGACTATGATTATAACAACCACGACTATGATAATAACAACCATGACTATGATTATAACAACCACGACAATGATTATAACAACCATGACTATGATTATAACAACCACGACTATGATTATAACAACCACGACCATGATTACAACAACCAATACCATGATTATAACAATCACGACCATGGTTATAACAACTACGACCATGGTTATAACAACCACGACCATGATTACAACAATCACGACCATGATTATAACAACCACGACCATCTGGAAAACGATTTCGCTGAACGCTGTCAGCCGGACGGCGGTCGCGCGCTAGCCAAGCAGGAGCATTCGAACTTTCACGCCTCGGTAAATTATACCACCGGACTTGCCACCGGGCAAGAAGGGCCCACGATCACTTGTCTTATCTAAGCTGCTCATGTGCAGAGTTGTGACTAGAAACTCCCGGTAGTCACCTGTTATGGGGGTATAGGGGTTTTGATGATGTAAAGTATGATGGACTGGATGATGGCTGCGTGTTAATTGATTTATGTGGTGAGGCAGGAGCACAGGCTGCAGCCACACAACTTGGCTCTCCCTTTTCTGATCCACTGGTGCAGCAACTGGGGAGATGGAGAGTTGCAATGGACTGCCGACAGCCCAATTTGTTGAGTTTTGCCTTTGTAGCCTATCCATCGGCATTGCCTTCATCCACCTCTCTAGTCGTTGGGTTCACTTGTTGGTCACCTCCTCAGCCGTTCGGGTCTTGTTGGAGCTCCGTAAGCATGTCTGCCTGATGCATGACTACACCGCAAACTTTTTGTTCGTGGTTTACCCTCGTAGCCTTATCCCTACCAGGGTTAATCCGCAAGGCAGCAGGGCAGTGGTTGGTAGGCGCCAGGACGTTTCCACATGCTGGTGGGCCTATGCCTATGCGCCGTCCCTCTGGGAGCCACTGCTGCTCCGAGATCCCCTGCTGGTAAAGCTTGGATCCGTGAGGCACGCAGTTACCGTGTGTTGTCACGAGGAGGCATACCAAGAGTCTTGATGGTGAAGAGGCTGTGTACTGTCAGGGGAAGGTTTAGCTGAAAGTTAGAGGAAGGAAGCAAGCGGTGCCTGCACCTTAATAATAACATAATGCTGTCACACTAGACGCATCACACACACACATACACACACACACACACACACAAGGGGGGGGGGGGCTCACCAACAGTCAACATGGGGTGGGTGTCGTCCAGGGAGGTGAGGCGGAGGGAGTTACTCTTGGTGGCTGTGATCTTCTTGACCCAGTACAGTCTTGCCCACACCCCACCGCCCACCACCACGGCCGTCACCACTACGCCGCCCACCACCCCGCCCACAACTCCGCCTTCGTCCATGTCATTGCCCCCATCTGCCGACAGAAGAAAAACATGCAAGCCTTGGCGTGTACGATCACAATGTACTATTCTGTGAGTTAACACCAGGTAAGCATTAGTTTACATCAATTTACATTAATTTACGTTATTTTATGTGAGTTTGCATCAATTTAGTTAGTTTATAGCAGCTTACACCAGTTTACATCAGTTTAGCTTAATTTACATCAGCTTACATTAATTTGTTAGTTTACATTAGTTTTCATCAGTTTACATCACTTGATATAAATTTACATCATTTTACAGTTATTTACGTTAGTTTATATCAGGTTACATCCATTTACGTTAGTTTACTCACATATCACTTTACGTCAGTTTACGTGAGTTAACAACAGTTTACAACAATGGTCACCTGATCAACAGTCTTAGAGGCTACCGAATGTATTGATATTAATGATTTATACTCGTATATTATGGTACCGAGTCAGTTCTCAGTATTACTGTTGATGTGACAGAGATAGTTTTGTGCCGTAAACATTGGTTCAACTTATACGAATAATCATCTCTCCGTTTCTGAAGATCTTAAAGTTCTGTTGAGAAGAAAGGCATTGGCATTAGTAAATAGGATAAATGATACCAAAAAGCCAATATAATATGACCTTAGGAGAGACATAAGAGAGTGTAGAACTGTAGTAGACTGACTTGTGATTATATCTGATCTGGCATAAAGTTATTGTGTCGTTATAAAACAAATGACTATCTCAGATGATTACTTTGTGTGTGTGTGTGTGTATACAGTTTATGTAAAGTTTAGGTTTTAATATATACAGGTAGAGACATACACACAGACAAACACAAGTTATCCTTATTCCCTTATTTATAACACTGATGACACACGCACGCACACACACACACACAAACACACACACACACACACACACACACACACACACACACACACACACACACACACACACACACACGAAACAAGCGCCCACAGCAACTAGAAGCTTTTTATCCAGGTGAGCTTTGTCGAGTACATCTTGTATGTTTATATTTAATATTCAAAGTAATTTTAACTTTAGGGAACAAAAATGGATATCGAGTCGTTATTTTAGTTTTCCTTAAATAATTGAATTGTTTTTAATAGTGTGAGTCGTTTTTAATAGTGAGTCGATTTGAACATTGGAAGTCGTCTTGAATATTGGAAGTCGTTTTGACTAGTGTGAGCCATTTTAAATGGTGTGAGTGTGGATGAACATTGGAAGTCGCCTTGAATAGTGAGTCGTTTTGAATAGTGCGAGTCATTTTGACTAGAGCGAGTCATTTTGAATAGTGTGAGCCATTTTGACTAGTCTGAGCCGTTTTGACCAGTGAGAGTCGTTTTGACGAGTGTGAGCCGTTTTGACTAGTGCGAGTCGTTTTGACTAGTGGGAGTCATTTTGAATAGTGTGAGCCATTTTGACTAGTCTGAGCCGTTTTGACTAGTCTGAGCCGTATAATGAGGGTGACTCGGGGAAGGAGATAAAATAAGAATTTATTATTAATAGGATTGTTAAGTCAGGAAAGTTGGTAGCGTGGCTGATTAGTTATTTGACTGTCACTATGTTCGTAGGGGTAAATTTCTAAACACCAATTCTAAGTACAGCTCTTTATTAGTTAACTGAATGGCAGGAACACATTAATAGATCATTTTATTGAAGTTACTAGACAATGACTCTCGGACACAAACATGAAATAGATACACTTCCCACCGTAAGTAACTCGTCCTATGGATCGCTCTGACAATGACTCTCGTGTGACCTGAGGGAGGCTCAGCGGCTGGGGGAGCTGTCTGCAGGTGTTGCTGAAGAGAGTGGGCCTAACAGGTACTGGGCTCTGTCTCCTGAGGGAGAGACTGCTATCTGGGGACTTGGTGTTGGAGAAGGAAGTCCCCTTCCCAACCTCCACTTGCGACAAGTGTGACTCCATCTCCATCTTGGTTCTGTTTCTCCCTGTGTGTGTCTGTGAAGGAGCTGTCGGCCCCTTATATTGGAGGTGTCAAGCCGGCTGTGTTTGATCAGGTGCGTGGTGAAGTGTAGTTTCTTGATTTAACACTGTCATGACGCCGGTTAAACTGATTATGCGATGGATCAGGCCTTAATCTCACTTTATTTACAAAGGGTGGGTCAACTTACGTGGGTGTACACCTGCTCATCTACTTACTGTTATATGTGCTGTTCTTCTCTGGGCTGTAAGCTATGGTCTGATAAACAATCATTACAGCCGTTTTGAAAATTGCGAGTCGTTTTGAATAGTGTGAGTCACTTTGAATAGTGTGAGTCGCCTTGAATAGTGTGTGTCGTTTTGAATAGTATGAGTAGTTTGAATAGAGTCGTCTAGAATAGTGTGAGTCGTCTTGAATAGTGCGAGTCGTTTTGAATACTGAGTCACTTTAAATAGTGTAAGCCGTTTTGAATAGTGAGAGGCGTTTTGAAAAGTGAGAGTCGTTTTGAATAGTGTGAGGCGTCTTGAATATTGAAAGTCGTCTTGAATAGTGAGAGTCGTTTTGAATAGTGTGAGGCGTCTTGAATATTGAAAGTCGTCTTGAATAGTGAGAGTCGTTTTGAAAAGTGAGAGTCGTTTTGAATAATGTGAGGCGTCTTGAATATTGAAAGTCGTCTTGAATAGTGCGAGTCGTTTTGGATTGTTTAAGTCGTGTTGAATAGTGTGAGTAGTTTTGAATAGTGTGAGTCGTTTTGGATAGTTTGAGTCATTTTGAATAGTAGGAGTCGTTTTGAATAGATTGAGGCGTCTTGAATATTGGAAGTCGTTTTGGATAGCGTGAGTCATTTTGAAAAGTGAGTCGTTTTGAATAGCGTGACTCGTTTTGAATAGTGAGTCGTTTGTTTTCATCTTAATCGTGTCATGATATGGTGAGAGAGACAACAGTATAGCTAGACCTCGTGAGGCAGGAGGAACATACTTGGTGGTGTGGTGGAGGACCTGGAGGTATAGGCAGACACCAGTACAGGCTGGGAGGTGATGGGTCCGTGTCTCACATACACCTTGATCTGGTAGCTGGTGCCTGCGTCCAGACGACTCACGTTGAAGTTAGGCTGATTGGACGTCACGTTGGCGAAGAGCGTGCGGTTGGCGAAGTATACCTAGAGAAAGATATAGGTAATGTACAGTTGCCAGCAAAAGTTCTCCCACAGCCCCGTGTAGCAAGTTTGTGGGAGGACTTTTGTTGGCAACTGTACGTGTATCAATGAAAGACAAAAGTCGTGTCGTGAAATTTGGTGAAAACATATGCTGAAGGGCTAAGACTTTTGGTGCGCTCTGCCTCGTGGTGGGACTCTCATAATGTTTCACGACTTATATTTAATCTTCGGACAAAACTGAGACACGACTTTTGTGTTTCATTGTACATACAATTATAACACACGAGGAGAGGTGGTGCCTGACCTACACTAGTGGTGAATGACTTACAGTACTTTAGTGGCGCAAGACCTACTTTAGTGGTGTACAAGATGATGCATGACCTACTGTATTGATGGTGTAGAGTGGTGCATGACCTATCTTAGTGGTGTACAAGATGATGCATGACCATGTCTTAATAGGGTAGAGTGGTGCAAGACTTACATTACTGTTGCATGACCTACCTTATTGATAATGGTATAGAATGTGGTGCATGACCTACAATAATGGTGCATGACCTACCTTAGTGGGTTAAACACTGACCTCGGCGGTGTAAAGCACGGAGGGGTCATGAACCATATGGGGCGTCTGACAGGCCAGGCTAAGTGACGTACTGCTGATATTGGCAACACGACACGACGACTGTGGCACGGCGACCTCTGGACGTATACGACACCTTAGTTAGGTCAGTCACTGTTACATCTTAGGTTAGGTCAGTCCCTATCGTATCTTAAGTTAGGTCAGTCATTGATACATCTTAATTTAAGTCAGTCCCTATCATATCTTAAGTTAGGTCACCCACTGTTATATCTTAAGTTAGATCATCCACTGTTATATCTTAAGTGAGGTCATCCACTGTTATATCTTAAGTTAGGACAGCCACTGTTATATCTTAAGTTAGGTCATCCACTGTTATATCCTAAGTTAGGTCAGCGACTGTTGCATCTCAAGTTAGGTCAGTCACTGTTGTATCTTAAGTTAGGTCAGCCACTATTATATCCTAAGTTAGGTCAGCGACTATTACATCTTAAGTTAGGTCAGTCACTGTTATATCTGTATTTAGGTCTACCAAGCCATCAAAAACTGCTACTGACATACTGTTATTGAAATACAACAAGTAGTTCATATAGTTAAAATTTATGAATGGAAGACGTCTTTGAGAGCATTCCCAGTACCATGATAATGAAAATATACTTGCATGAATACAACCATGACATTGAAATACTGTATATCTCATGGCGACAACACAACGTCTTCTAATATTCCTAAGTGAGCAAAATTTCTTGACACTTATATAAGAAGTTTACTACTACAAGAAGCTTACAAGATGACCTCAATAACCACCTTTGATGGAGAACTTGCATGGTGTCACTTGTGAACCCATCTCGTTGACGCCCCAACATGACAGCGTCCTGTCCTCACCCCCGGGGAAAGGACGAACTCTCAACTGAGCTGACGTGATCTCTGTGTGCTCGCTTATTGGCGGAGTGCTGGTGACGTCATCGTTGTTTTTCCACATCCAGTGAATGGTTTTGACAGGCGGATGTGACGTTATTGTGCAGGTGATGTTTATTGGTTTGTCGTAGATGAAGTATGTGGCTAGTGATGTAACACACTCTGGTTTGTCTGTTGAGAGAAAATTAAACAAAATTGGTGTTGTAGATACTGTGGGGTATGGGATGTTTGGTTCACACTCAGGATGGGATGGAGAAAGGAAACTCACGATGTGCTCTCTGTATACATGTTGTATTGAATGTACAATGCAGCTTGGTGCTGGGAAGGCAGCATGGTTACAAGCGTGATGTAGAGAGAGCTGGTTGGTGAGGATGCTCAGAGGAGGACAGCTTGTGGGTCACCATGCTCGCCGGCGGGAGGGCCGCCAGGCAGCGGCGGAGGAGGAGGAGGTGTTGCTTGCTGGTTGGTGTAGGTAGAAAGAGCGAGATGGTTGGTTGGTTATACAGAGAGAAGAGAGCACTAGCTCTGAGAGTGCAAGAAGGGTACAGTACAAGGTAAAGTTCAGAAGTGGGAAATAGAGGAGGAGGTTAACAGCAGGTGGGCTATCCACCTTGCGGAGAAGAGCGAGATCACCACGAGGTCAGGTCTTAAATAGCGGGGGTTGGCGTGGCTTAGTAGTTGACCCCCGCTCCGTGGGCGGCGCTGGTTGACCCAGACCACGAGGCACACACTGTGGAATTCGCGGGGTCGGCTACTCAGCGACAAACAGCGTTTGTAGGGGAGAAATCCACTACAATACAATCTCTGAACACAATAGATTATCCCAGCTGCTGTAGCTACAACACATACAGCATAATGTCGCTATTTTAAGAACAACATATTTTACAGTAAATGTTCCTAGTCACGAAATGCATGTATTTCCTAAAACTTTCAGTAAATACATGTAATCTCCGATTCATTCAGGGAATTTCATGTATTTACTAAAAATGCCAGGAGGAGCGTGTATTTTCTAACATGCATTGATGATTTCTATCATTATTTACTGGAGGAGTTTCAGTGAATGTTTGAAGTCAAATGTAGCAAAGCAGTCTCTGATGCAGCTACTACTCGCGGTATAAACAACTTCGTTTCAGAGGCGGGTGTGGAGCATATTTTCAAAGTGAATATGGCTTCAGCACTACCACACCAAGGCTGCCGTAATTCCGACTGTGTTTCACCGACGCTCTGATTGGTTATCTTCCTCACGTTGTGACTGGGCTACAAGACCATGAAGTCATAAAAACGTTTTCTTTGTTAAAGTGATACATATATAGGATATCAGTAACAATTCAGTTCATTTTTACTATTATTTGCACATATTTAGTATGAAATATTGCACAATAGATTCTTTAAACAACTTTAAAATCAGGTGGGGCAGTATTATATTGAATAAAAGAGATAAAAGAGTTCAAGAAGTAGAAAGTGGAGTGATACCATGAGTGTATATCATAGAAAATGCGCTATTATAAAATACATAATTGTAACATGTCTGATAAAATAACAACAAATAAAAAACTAACAGTAAAGGACTCGCTGAAAGTCGATGTATAACGGCGTGTAGATGCTTTTGACAAAGGCTCTACAGTGAAAGTCATATGGAAGGCACTGAATTCAAGGCGGATCCAGCTGGGACCCCCCTTTTCATCAGAAAACTCCAATAGTTTTCCTTATTGCAGTATTGTACTCAGGCATTTTTGTATAGTAAAAATTAATTACTATTGATATCAGAATATTTCTTAGTAGCAAGTACGCACATGGCTTCAAAATGCCCATGATATTGGTCAGATTTCAAAACATTCTCAGGGTTGGCTTACAGCGACCCCCCCCCCACCTCCCGATGGATTGGCTCGCTTTGCTGGCCAGGTTTCCCCACCCAAACTTCTTCGACCCTCCCCTTTTTATATTCCTGGATCTACCCCTGGAACTCAATCATGGAACAGGACGAAATGACTATCTTTGTGTTCCGAGTAGACATCATCGTTTCATGCCAACTCATCATAAGGCAGTATTGCTAAACTATCAATTATAAAATGAAGGAAATCTAATAAAATATCTTCATAATTATTCTATATCATTTTTATTCTGCATTTGACCCCCCAAAAAGGCCTAATTAACAATTTCGGTATTTTTCCGACGGGCCACTGGCGCCGGTACCGTGACGTCACGGTCTACTGACTACGTCATTGAATTTCATTTTTTAACGTCTAGCAGACGAATTTCCGTCAAACTGCAGCATTGCACCACACTCACCCAGTCAATCCCACCAAATGTACAGTCCATCACGGCCCACCTTGTGTGCTGGGAGTTGTCAAGTCGGACTGAACGTATTTATATGGCGTTTCATAAGTTATATAAATGATTTGGGATATATCCAGCAATACAAACTGTAGTACAGTCACAATCCAAAGTTTCGACCCCCCTCCCACCTTGCTGGGTGTTTGCCGAGGCCAGGGTTGAGGTAAGGCTGGGTGATCGGACGCAGATTAGTTCAGCAATGTGGTAATGAGGCACTACGATGGTGGGGTTCACATTCCACCACCACAACACTCCGAGACTCATAGCACACGAGCACAGGAAGGAACTTATTACCAATTTTGACATGACATGAACTTGCATAACAAATGCATTCATAACATTGTTGCCACACATAACAATAACATGTTAAGATGGGAGCATGAAAAACTTTGCCCGGTCCCAAAAAAATGGCTTGGAACCACTAGATGCGAGTCCTCATATTACACATGAATCATCAGGGCAGCATATGCTGTAGAAAGGGTGGCTGGCAGCCGAATTTCGTCAAGAGGGAGTGAGCGGTCAGTCGACAAGGTGAGGCCTATACCTGTATAGATATTACCATAACACTGGGAATATTATGGTTTCACGCATACTAGGAATTCATATAGTCATGTTTATAATATATATTGGTGTATTAGTAACTACATTGGAGTATGTTGGTTTGGAATGTTGCAATCACATTAATCATGATATCACCCAAACAGTTTTTGTCTGGTCCGGAGCAGCGACTTTGCCCAAGACCTCGACCCTCAGCGTAGATGCCTGGCCGTGTGTCATCATTAGTGACAACTTCTTGGTCACTTGCCTTCTTTCCTGTCTACTGCTACTTTTAGTTCTTAAATTTCACTGCATAATGTCTCGGATTATGAGAGTTATGGCACAGAGGTCACCAATATTACAACTAGTTACGCATATGATTACTTTTTTTTTATTTTTCACCCGAATGATAAATATCTATGACGTCCTAATCATGATGTGTGGGAACTTAGAGCTAATTTCCAACACGATACTTTTAGTCCATCAACACGAGATGTTTATCAATATTTCAGAACTGGGTCGAGAACAGCCCAAGTTTCTCATGCCTCACTCCTAACTTGATATTGTTATGTGAGCCAACAATGTTATGAATGAAATTTTTTTATGCAGGTGCATGTCATCTCAAAATTCGTAAAAATTTCCCTCCATGCTCGTGTGCTGTGAGTCTCGGAGTGTTGTGGTGGTGAAATGTCTGCGTCCAATCACCCAGCCTTACCTCAACCCCGGCCTCGGCGAACACCCAGCCAGGGAGGTGTCGAAACTTTGGATTGTGAGTGTACACAGCGCCGACCTTAGGAGGTGCGGGGCCCAATTGGGAACAATTTTGGTGGGCCACAGGTTCCCAGACAAAGGTCTGTAGAATCATAGAATATAAATAACGTCTATTATAGACTTTACAAGTGATCGCGGGCACGTTCGTGCCCAGTGAAAGTTTGAACGCTCGTGCTTGGTTAGCATACAGCGAATGAGGGTGTGCCAAGTCCTTAGACTTGCATGGTTAATTAGGGTGCGTCAAGTCCGTAGACTTGCATCGTTTTCCATCGCAAAGAAAATGGTTAATTAATGCCTTCCTAAAGAAACCATCGACATGGGACCAGGTTTGTTCCACTCTACGAATTTTTTGCGATTTTTCCACCAAGTTTGATGAAAAACGATCATGCCGTTTCGGCTGCCCAGAACAGACAGACAGACAGACACACGCCTAGTCCTATAGTATATTAGATATCTCTATGGTAGTAAGATCGAGTCAGCTGTGTTTACACTTGACGGAAGGGAAGCTCACACCATGAGATAGAAACAAACGTAAATCCGGCGACCACTAGAAACTTTGGTCAGTCACCATGCCAAAGAAAACGTTTTGTAACAATGCTGAGTAAACTCGAGGAAACTGAGGCCCTCATGTCGCATGTATTACCAAACTATAGATTTACCCCATTTGGGATAATTTACCCCTATCCCCCGATCCCTTCTGTAAAACTTAAATACTTGAGTCTGAACATAGGCCTACTATATATTTTGCAACAGAGATGTACATGTGCATAAAGATGTAATATAGTATTTTAATCACATGATACTGCTAAAAGAAAATACTATAGGTTTATAGATATTTAAAAGCTGTTACACGTTTATTTACATATGCCTTTTAATTTTTTTCAGAGAAATGATTTTTAATGCTGTTCTGTAATTAACATATTATTTAATTCAGGTATAGTAAAAAAAAATCGAAACATACAGTATAAATAAACACTACCGACTTTGTAACAATTCATAAAAAATTATAATAATTGCTGTTCTCTGTAGAACCTGCAATGTGGTGTTACATATATGTTGCAATGTGTTGTTGTGTGTACTTGACAAGCCGAGAGTAGATTATTCTAGCGTGGGGCCCTCTTAGGTGCGGGGGCAATTGGTCCAATTGGCTTAAGGCCGGCCCTGAGTGTACATTACCTATTGTGCTATATGTTGGGCATCATTTGTTTCTGTTTGCTTTAGGTTTTGGACAAAAATAGAAATAATGAAAAGGCTTCATTCGAAAGCGAATTTCATCTTTGACTTTGACCTTTTATGATAAATATTTAAAATTGTCAAATATCCTCTCTGAAGTGCTGATGCCTTGAAATCATTTGAATTTTGATCTTCTAGATATTAAACATTATTTTGAGAATAACAGGTCTGCTTAACAATTGTGAACACATTTAAGCTTTAATTGTAAGGCGTTTCAGATGAACGGAATAGCCAACGCGTTAGCTATTCTGTCTGCGCAGACGCTGCTGCTGACTTCTGCCCAAGACACTTTCAGAGGGAAAAGCTAACACCTCGATCAGGAGTCAGCGTTTGCAGCGAGAAGGGGCGCCTGAATAGCAAACAACCAATTAGCGAGTTTCTCCCACTGAAAATACCGGGATCATGGCCGCTTATGAAGAATATTTTGATTAATATTGAAGAGTTAGGGGCATGTAAGGCAATAAAAACTAATATAATAATTACAATAATTCTATATAAGGTAGTATATTGGATAGGGCCTAAAACAAAGCGTATGGCTTGAAAGAATTGAAAAAGATTGCGCCTAGTTGCAAACAGTTTTGGCTCCGCCCATTTTTAAGTGGGCGCTGTCCAATTTCATTAGCCGTTGGTGTCACAATATTGATAATTACTCAAATATAATTAAAGCTTTAACGTCACTACTCATAAGATACTTTAAATATGGGTGAGCAAGTCGTTACAGTTCTGTAAGTGCAAAAATTAGGACTTAAACGAGCCTGAAATTCGTCGTATTTCGTGTCAAAATATGCGAACAAACTGCTGCGAGAGTAGTATCGTGTGGTTCCACTATCCGGGAGAAATTTCCTTTACAATGGGCCAGCTTTTTTGTGTTATTCTTATTTATTGTTGACTGGTTGACTTTTTTCTTTTTTGTCTTTCTTTCCATAATTTTCTATATATTTTCTTCACTATTTCTTTCTGTATTGTGTCCAAATAACAGTTCTCCTAATTTTATTGTTTTTTGAAGACTGTGTTGTACAACAGTGATTCCAAAGACGCAGTACAATGCCGTATTTTTTGCTGACAGTCCGGGAAAGCTAATTCGTTAGCTTTTCCGTGCATCATAAAATGCCTTTCAATAAACGCTTAAAGTTTGAATAAATGGACAGTTACACGAACATTTTCTATGAACCAATGAGCTATTTGTAGATAAAGACGAGGGGCGTGGCTAACGCACCAGGTTAGCGAGGGATTAGTATAGTTCTGCATCATGGAATGTCATCTGTTACACCACAAGATGTAGACAACCACAAGGAGCAGATCAAGAAGCGGTCGAGCAACAACATGTTCTGATCAAGTGCGACAAGGTGAGAGAATGGGAAAGCCTAGTTGCTTAGACAGTAAAACTGTGGAGCCTGAAGATAATGTTGTCATTCCTGTTCCAGCTGAAGATCGTGGTGGAGAAGATCCAAGAAATATACTGTACTTGGTGTTATCATATACAGAGATCTAATGACAGAGCACTACAGAATAGCGGTTAAAGCACGAATATTGAGGGGTTTATATTATAGAAATCAATTTGACTTGTGCCTTCAGTGCTTATTAACGCTTGATAATGTTTGTTTCGATAAATTGATATCATGGCAGTCTGCCGTTATAGTCCAGTCTACATCTGATGGACAAGGATTTACTATGTAATTGTTATGGCCCAAAGAAATGTCACACAAATCGCTGAAATTATTTTAAAGCTAAACATGTGTGCAATTCTAGATGTCATGGCAGCATAAACTACGAATAAATTAGTAATGGAAGAGTTGTCGGTTCTGAGTATACACAAGAAATACACTTTGCCACGTTCGTGTAGTGATAGGGTGTATATAATTTGTAATAAAAATTTAAAGTTCTACTATAATAGTCGAGATAAGTTTATTTCTCTAGAAACATGGCCGTCATTTGCAATGACGTCAACAGTATCCCGCAGACGACGTTCTCCAACAAACTCACCGTTGCAGTACTA